ACCTTGCATAGTCAAATTTTGGCTTTCAAAAACGAAGGAATATATCCCCCTGGTCTTTCTCTTTCACAGAAGTCCAACTTTCGTTGAAAAGCCAAGAGTTTTGAGGTCCAAGGTATGTTTATTGGTTTCATAACCAGTTTTTCTGCTCATTACACAACCGCAAAGTCTGCTATGTTTTAATTATTATTTTTTGACCAGGTTGTGGAATGTATAAGTTGGCTTTAAGTATACTTAACAGGGTTATCTTTATGATCGGGGCACGGCAGAGCCTCCTTAGTCCAACCAAAGTGCTCGACTCGGGCCATAATCTGACCCACGACCCAGCATGAGAAATAAGGTAATATTTAGGTAAATTTAACCCTTTACATGTGACCAGGACACTGTGATCAATTTTTGGCAAGGGAAATGATCATTTGTTGCCATTTTTGAGGTGTTATGAATGTGGAAGAGACCCAGCATCATGTGATGGCACTAATAACATCAAGAGATAATAAATAAGGTAATATTTAGGTAAATTTAACCCTTTACATGTGACCAGGACACTGTGATCAATTTTTGGCAAGGGAAATGATCATTTGTTGCCATTTTTGAGGTGTTTATGAATGTGGAAAACACCCAGCATCCTGTGATGGCACTAATAAAATCAAGAGATAATAAATAAAGTAATATTTAGGTAAATTTAACCCTTTACACGTGACCAGGACTCTGTGATCAATTTTTGGCAAGGGAAATGATCATTTGTTGCCATTTTTGAGGTGTTTATGAATGTGAAAAACACCCAGCATCCTGTGATGGGACTAATAACATCAAGAGATAATAAATAAGGTAATATTTAGGTAAATTTAACCCTTTACATGTGACCAGGGCACTGTGATCAATTTTTGGCAAGGGAAATGATCATTTGTTGACATTTTTGAGGTGTTTATGAATGTGGAAGAGACCCAGCATCCTGTGATGGCACTAATAACATCAAGAGATAATAAATAAGGTAATATTTAGGTAAATTTAACCCTTTACACGTGACCAGGACTCTGTGATCAATTTTTGGCAAGGGAAATGATCATTTGTTGACATTTTTGAGGTGTTTATGAATGTGGAAGACACCCAGCATCCTGTGATGGCACTAATAACATCAAGAGATAATAAATAAGGTAATATTTAGGTCAATTTAACCCTTTACACGTGACCAGGACTCTGTGATCAATTTTTGGCAAGGAAAATTATCTTCTTTTTTTGCCATTTTTGGGGTGTTTATGATGATACAGTAGACAGTATGAGTACAATAACATCAACAGATAATACATTAAACCCTTATTTGGACAATTTTAGCCTCCGTGAAAATCTGAGCGATTCAATCACTTTTTGGCAAGTAAAATGCCATTTTAGTTGTCTACAATTAAATCATCAATAAAGAATTTTAAGATATTTTGATGTGTTTCTTATAGGTAAACAGGAGGGTGTAGTCTCTATTTGGCAAGTGACAATCTTAATTTTATGTGCTGAAGTGCTTTTATCTTGTTACTTTTAAACAGAGCAACGTAATGTATAGATAGTAACCTACACAGTGTCATTAAAGCCAAAGCTTGATCAGTTTAAATACTATTTTTCAAGTAAAAATGTGCCCCAAACTAACTGTGGCTCCATGTCAAGTGGACTAAAGAAAGGAAGGGGAAAAAAATCAAATCGCTGCAGAATTGTTTAATTACATTTCGACGTTTACATTCAATACAGGGCGCCATTTTACATTGTTTATTTATTTTTTAGTATCAAGGCTGTAACATAAAGAAAGCCAGTTCTTACCACAAACCATCTTTCAATCGCAAATATTGCAAAAAGGATTAATATATCCCAAGGGCGTCAGTTTGTTTCCAGAATTGCTGGGGACAATAACCATACACTTGAGTGGGGTTTAAAAATTGCTGGGGACAATAAAGTAGGCTAGCACAGGGGTCGGCGGCTCGGGAGCCGCATGCGGCTCTTCCATCCATCTGATGCGGCTCTGTGTTTGTAAAATAATGAATGGATATTTAAATAAAATGCTTTATATTTTACTGCATTAATTTTACATCTGTATGCCAATTCTAAATGTAAAGATTGTCTGCGTAAACCTGAACAGGTCCAACCTGGTCTTACTGTGAGACCGGGTTGACGCGTCACGCTTGTGCGTAATCATAGGCGCTTTATTAGCTGAAGACGATGTGAGATTCTGGGATTCTCCTCAGACGGCTCCTGGATGTGTCGCCACATTGGAGACGGGAACAAGCGCTATTCAGCCAAAGTTTCATCATCAGGGAACATTTTCTAAGTGACAAGTCTCTCTGAGAGACCGGGTTTGGAAAACACTCGCTTCAGTGGGAGGAACCTTCCCACATGCGCTCTGGGTGGCTCTGGGGTTAATCAAGTTTAATTGTTTCTCTTTGCAACAATCTTCACAAGAAGGCAAAACAGTTAAACGGCAGGTTACATATATTTCCATTTGACTGTTTATTTTGACAGATGAACTCAAGGATGTTGCTTGGTTTGAAAGAATTACCCCCACGCACACTGATGCACATGGATGAGCTGACATTTTAATCGTTAACGCACATTGCGGAGGTAAAATATTCCCATCAGAACATCAGAGCTTTATACTGGACACTGTGTTCAGCGCGGCTCGGAGCGCCCACGGTGGACAGTGAGCTGAAGATCTGAGGGGTTCGCAGCGCAGCGCAGAACCATGGTGCATGCAATGATTTCCTCCCACTGAAGCGGTCTGGAAACCCGGTCTCTCTGAGGGATGTGTCACTTGGAAAAATGTTCTTTTTATGAAATTATGAAACTAGCTGAACAGCGCTTGTTCCCGTCTCTAATATGGAGACGCATGATGCGTAGAGACATTTGATCACGCACAAAGTTCGTGTGGAGCAGAAGCGGTCGGGCCACGGCAGGTGAAATGTTCCTAGCCTACATGAAGGGAAACTGTTTAATTGTAACATTAATACGTTACTGGACATGCTGGTCTGGTTGGTTAGACCAGTGTTTGAAGTGGAAAACACACACACACACACACACACCAATTAAAATATATGCTGATAGCATGGACTAGAAGACAGGTGATGGTTTACGTATTTAAATGATGATCAGGCTGCTGTAAAATGTAATCTCCATCCACATCCAGACAGAATCATCCTCTATTCTGTCTCTATTTGCTCTGCTCTTGTCTGGGCTGATCAGCTGATGGTGCACCTAACTAGCGGCTGATGCACATTTTACGCATTTGGAGAGGTGGGCTGGATGCTGTGCGTTTACTGGAAGATGGTTAACGCACGGGTGTAGACTACATATTAATGACAAATGAATGAAAATTAAATTGTGAGTTTTTACTTCATATTTTATAAATAAAAATGACGGGGGAAAACATTTATGACGTCTTTTTAAACTAAATTTTCTAGCGCGACCTGCCTGCTTCACTTAAGTCACTGCTTATTAAGGTCCGTCCAGAATTACTGTGGGAAACGGGTAATAATGGCTCTTTGATGGGAATAGGTTGCCGACCCCTGGATAAGATCTGAGCTGGTAAAAAAAAATCCTCATCAGCAGGCGTTTTTGAAAGTGGGGGGGACACAGCTGCCAATCACAAATTTTGCCGGGGACATGTCCCCGGCGTCCCCGGTTAAAATGACGCCTATGATATATCCTCATTGTGAACGTTTAAGACAAATAGCAACACTTAAAACAACTTCCGAACTGGAAAAACTAATATCCGCGATAAACATCTGTTTAAGTACCGGAAGAGGTTACCTCTGCTTTCTGAATGTCCATATTGCTAGATATGCCGAGTTTTAGGGAGAAATCCCGGGGAATTTCGTCTAGAAATGCAATTACCTAACTGTGCGCGATCCCGCGGTGGCTAATCATTTTTTGGCAGCGAGTCGATTTATGGCACTACAACTAGCAGGCGCTGAAAAAACACAAAGGAGGGGGCTTCGTCGGCTCCGCGCTGACGCCGCAAAGCATCATGGGAGTTGAAGTCTTTGCGGTAAAATCGGCCAGCGGGCCAGTTTTAATATATTTTTGATATTTATCTCGCGGGCCACATAAAAATGCTCCGCGGGCCGCATGTGGCCTTGACTCTGACATATGTGGTCTATAGTGTCATAACTTTTTTTCTGTTTATTTTAAACAACATCCAATCCTTAAATGGTAAAGAAAAGCACATATTTTATAACAACTAAAATAGGAGGAAAAAAACTATCAGGAATTTCATTGTCATTCTTAAAATGGGAACGTTTATTAAAGACAATCAGTCCCGTTCATATGGATTTGGCAGAGGTACAACGTCAGCATCTCTTGTTTACAACCAGTTTTCACATAATTTAATCTACTTTTCATCTGTTAAAGACCAAGCTAAATCTGGCTTTAGCTACATTTAGGCCTGGTGGTACTTAAATATTTTGTGTTGGTACTTAATGGCAAAAGTTTGAAAAGCACTGGTCAAGTTACCTTGACCAAAGTTTTTCTGATCCTGCCAGTGGTCTTACTCATCCTGCACTGCATATTTGCAAATCAATAAAAAAAAATTTATCATAGGTGTACACAGTTAGAGCATATTGTTATTAATTATTTATAATATAATCATAAAAAAATGTCTCAGTTGTGGTCGATCACATTCTAAAAGCATGCTTAATCTGATGTTCACAAAATGACTCACAGCAGTGTTAAATTAACCCGAATGCTCAAAATAATTAATTGGAATAAGTAGATAAACTAAAAAAGTTCTCAAAAGTTATCTTTACTTAAAAATATTGAGTTAAAGTAACATTTTCCTTCTTTTTAAGTTTATTAAACTTGTTATAACTGATTAATATGAACTTGGTTGCATATTATGTAAATTCTACTTAAAATAATCAACTCAGATTTACTTAAAACTCTGTGGATTAAACATGAGTCTTTATATATATATATATATATATATATATATATATATATATATATATATATTAGGGGGTGGGCCGTTATCGGCGTTAACGCGCTGCGGCAAAGCCAGACTCTTATCACGCGATAAAAAAAATGACGTCGTTAATCTATTCTCACATTGCGCGGATGGATACCTGGTTGGCGCGGATGTATACTCGGCGCGGATCATCGACATATAAAGCATGGATGTATACGCGTGAAAGAGAACATCTTTAATGCCGGAGGAATCTTCAAACGTGACGTGCCAACATGGATGCACCTATGAAGCCGGTGGGTTTGCTCCAGGGAAAATTTATTTTTAAGAAGCTTCCCAATGGAAACCTTGACAAGACTAAAGTTGTTTGCACCTTGTGCAATGCGGAATTTGTTTACTGTAGAAGTTCTTCCAGTCTCAAGTACCACCTAAACGCTAAGCATCCCTTAGCTAATTTGGAAGATGCTGGACCACGTGTTGCGCAAGGGAAGAGTTTTCGTCAAACTACTATGTTTGAGTGCAACCGAGGCAAGCCCATCAGTGCAGCTCTATCAAGTAAGCTCACTGATCTCCTTGCTCAGTGGATTGCCACTAGCTGCCGACCCATCAGCGTGGTCGAAGATGATGGGCTCGAGCTTGTTCTCCAGGCGGCCACGGGTGACTCATCCTACAAACTACCTGCGAGGCGAACAATCGTGAGGAAAATACATGACCAGCATGCAACAGAGAAAGCCGCGAAATATGAGAAGTTGGTGGAGGCAACTTGTGTAGCACTGACTGGGGACCACTGGACCTCTGTCAGTAATGATAACTACCTCGGTGTTACTGCACACCTCATCGATGCCAGCTGGGAACTTCACTCCTTTGCTTTAGGTAGGCTATGTCCTTTTAAATTTCATAATTAACCGAGAGGTTAACACGCGAGAGGGAGTGCTGTTGTGTTGAATATATGCATTTGTGTGATTCATATCATGAATACATAATCACACCAGTGCTGATGTTTAGCACAACAGCACTCCCTCTCATGTGATATTGTTTTTATACAACAGTTCTAAGAGCAAATTTTCTTATTTAACAATAATAAGCGACATAAGATTATAATTTGTTAGTTTATTCAATCATTTATTTAGCTCCGCCAACACAAATGGTTCCAACTAGAACGCTGTTGCTAGGCAACACAAAAATAACACAACATAACATTAGAACGCCTGATATTGTCTGTAAAACGTCCCAGTGCTGTTGTGCTCCAATATCAGCACTCAAGGAATGTCTCTTGTCCAATCAAATTACTTGGTTAGAACTAACTGTTGTATAATTTAATTTAATTAGCCTACTTATTAATTAGCACAACACCATGAATTACCACCACATTATGTTTGCTTCTTAATGATTGCTAGTTGTTTACTGCTTGTGAACTTATTCTGATCTTTGTTTGACCGTTAGGTGTGATGAAAACAGAGGAGCGCCAATTTGCAGACGCATGTGCCAGGCAGTTTCTTGACGTTGCTAATCAGTGGGGGATAGCTGCCAAAACCAGCACTATTGGAACAGACAGCGCTCGTAATATGGTGGCAGCAGGGAGGATACTGCCATTCGAGCATTTGCCCTGCGTTGCACATGTTATTCAGAGAGCTATAGTAGTGTCACTTCGGGAAAGTGGTTTTGATGGCATTCTGGTCAAGTGCCGTAAAGTGGTCGGACATTTCAAACACAGTCCAGCAAACTTAGACGAGCTGAATGCCCAGCAAGCCTCCCTTGGACAAGAACAGGAACAACTTGTGCAAGATGTTCAAACACGGTGGAATTCCACCCTTGAGATGGTCAAACGCGTGAGGCGAAACAGAGACGCTCTGCACACAACGCTGTCTCAGCAGAAGCACAATCTTGCCCTCCCAACAAATGCTGAATATGAGAAGCTGGCAAAGCTGGAGAAAATGCTGGAGCCATGCAGGTATGGTCTACAAAGATAACATGTTCATGAATTGGCATACAAGTTCTTTGAAATGTCACTTTTGTATCTAAGAACCACCTGCCTTTAAATGCAATGTGATTAAGAATTTTAAAAATGTGTAATCGGAGTCATATGAATTGGTCATTAATTATTTCTTACGCTCTCTCTCTCTCTCTCTCTCTCTCTCTCTCTGTGTGTGTGTGTGTGTGTGTGTGTGTGTGTGTGTGTGTGTGTGTGTGTGTACATCACTGAGCTGCTTGGTGGGGAAAACTACGTATCCTGCTCTGTGGTTCTACCTGCCCTGTGCCACCTCCAGCACGCAATGAAGATATCAGATGATGATCCTGCCTATAGTGTGCGATTCAAGGCTGTCTTCACCAAGGACCTCAACCAGCGAAGGGAGAACATAAACCTGGAATGGCTTAAGGTATATCAGACACAGAAGATAAATACATTATTTGACCATTATGATCTCAAGGGGTTCAAATGAAGGTGTGTGAACTTCTTTGGTTTTTTGGAGATGTTTCCTTATCATCTGAAGAGCTTTGTCAAGTTTGGCTGGAATATGGGAGGGTGAAGCCCATAAACCATAGCTTTACGTTGTTGCTTGTGCTCTGTTCTGTTGTTGTTGCTTAACAAGCAGAAGCTACCAATGCATATATGCATGGTCTCTGTAAAGACTGGGCACAGCTGCAGTTTCTTTCAGTGGATGGAGACACGCCTTGTGGGGGTCTTGAATAGCCCAATAACATCCTCTTCCAGGATGGTTAGTGGTGTGTTGGAGGAGGGGAGACATGCCTTTTGTGAGGAGACTTCTGGGGCCATGGAGGTGTAGGTGACCTTGTTGAAATGGAGATGTAGCTGATGGGTGATGTCCTGGTTGGCTGTTGGGCCATCATAGCGTCAATCAAACTCTCTTTCTACAGTCACTGATTAGAACTTGTTTAGCCTGTTGACTATAGGTCCTCTGTTAAGTGGGTTATTTGGCTTGGCAGTGATTTTCCTAAGCCCTTTCCACACAAAAGTCAAGTCGTTAGCTGAGAATTGTTCTTTCAGCCTCTCAGAGTACCTTGATATAGCATTTTTCACCTCCCTGCTGAACCTGCTTTCACCTCTTTTGTAGCTCTCTGTGTCTTTGTTTTTAAATGCAATCTCCTTCTCCATCTTGAGTTGACTGAGTTTGGCCATGGTTTGTCGTTATTGAAATACAGTCTGGTGAGTGTTGGAACAATGCTGGAATCACAATATTTTTGCTCCACGCTCAAAATTTTATCCACAAGTGCACGCTGCGCTGCGTGCACGTCTGCGCTCGGCAGGATGTAGACGTGGCCAGAATAAATGAGGAGAAATCACGGGGAGAGTACAAAGGGTTACAGTTGAAGAGTAGGCATTCTGAATCAGGAGAACAGTGCTGGGAGATTACGGTCACATCAGAACACCAAACAAACTGTTGTTAGTATAACAGACACCTACACCTTTTGGTTTTGCCAGAGAGATCGCTCTTGCGGTCTGCGCAGTGGAAAGGAAAGCCATCTAGTAGGTTGGTCAAATGAATAGATGAAGGAGTCATGAACAAATATGGAGGTTAGATTTGGAAAGTGAAATTTTCATCAATAATAATAATTATGTTTTATTTATTAAAGGTGGCGACTGCCTTAGATCAACGATTTAAGGACCTCAAGTGCTTGCCCAGAGCAAAGAGGGAGCCGGTGTGGGTAAAGCTACGTGAGTTGGTGAAGGGACAAGAACCTACTCTGAAGCCACTCAGGGAGGAGAACCCTGAGCCATCCAAGAAGAAAAGAGCCCTTCTACTAATGGGATCAGACTCAGATTCAGATGAGGAGACACCAGTAGACAACACTGTGGAGAGGTACAAGGTAGAGCCCAGTGCCAATTTAGATCAGTGTCCATTGAAGTGGTGGTCGGAACACACTGCTGTGTATGGTAAGATGGCCCATATTGCCCGTAAATATTTGGGGACTCCTGCCACAACTGTCCCATGTGAGAGACTTTTTTCCTTAGCAGGCCATATTGTGCAGAAGAGGAGATCTAGTTTGTCACCAGACAATGTGAACAAGCTGGTCTGCTTGAGTGACTGGTGGAAGAAGGAGAAATAGAGCTTGGACTGATTGACCAAATGCTACTGACTGTAAATAGTTAATCATGACCTATTCTGTAGACCTACAGTGCAGAATTTGTTGAACTGAATAAACAACTATTAAACACAAATACTTATTGATCCTTATTTATTTTCATCATCAGTTATCGTAGTAAAACTGCTTTATCAGTCTGTGATGCATTATTGAAACAAGAAATATGCCTCCATTCTCAAAGACTTGCTTTTATTTATTATCTAGGTCGCACACACATATGCCTTTGGCAGAATTTGAATGAGCCATTTTAATCTAGATTAATTCCAAGATTACAGTGAGATTAATCTAGATTAAAAAATTAATCTATGCCCACCACTAATATATATATATATATATATATATATATATATATATATATATATATATATATATATATATATATATATATATATATATATATATATATATATATATATTGGAACTTTTTATTTTTGAATTAGAACAACAACATTTACATGGAAATGCATTTGAGTTTCTTCTTCCCTTCTCCAGGGCAGTGTTTCCCTGAACAAAGTTCGAATTTCCTTGTGGTCATAAGATCTATCCAACTTAACCAAATCACCAATCAGTACATATAGTTCTGACAAGCTTTCTCTGTATTCATCTTATCTGCTCTCTACTACATTCTACATTTTACTTTGATCTAGCTAAATAACTCACCCAAAAGACAAAAATACATAAAAAAATTAATAATAATAATTTTCACATGAGAGTACTATCTTTCTAACATTTGTTTTATAGGTTCCCAAATTTTTTCTAATTTCCCTAGTCCCAATCATAGTCTTGCATTAATTTGTTCCATTTTGTAGACCTGTCTAACTCTGTCTCTCCACTGTGCCATCCTTGGGGGTTCTGTGTCCAGCCATAAAACTGTAATACACTTCTTGGCAGTCATAAGCAGAATTTTGATTACGTATGTCTCCATTTTGTGTTGAAAATATATATCTCTCATATAAGCTCTTTCATATATTATTATAAGCTCTTTTATATGAACAAATATGTATCTCTCACTTATGCTCCTTATATATTATCATAAATACATTATTATATGCCTTTTCATGGAATCTTGTTATAATATCGAAAACCTCTCTGTGCCTTTTCTGCTCAAGCTGAACAGCTGCATAAGGGAGTGAAAGTGTTCCTTCCTTCATTTCCTCAATACAAGAACAACTGTCTTTGTTAGCAAAGGATGTTGCAGGATGTGTCCTGATCATCTCAAGGTTGCATGTCCTTGGGATGAATTGGTCTTTCATTAACAAGGCTGTTAGCTGACGTGCGTCTGCAGGTGCAGATGGCAGAATTACGTGTGTGTATGGTAAACTACGTATGTAACATTCCTGTAATCTTCAATAAAAATCAGCCGTTTTCAGCAGAACGGCGAGAGTCTGTCCGAAGCAACTGGCAAGAGCAGATCACGGGACCTGCTGCATGTTGCAAAAGGGCTCTCCCCCTCTCGAGCGGTGAAACAGTGACTGGACTTCTGATCATTTGTCTCCTCGTTCTGTCAACTTAAAAGGTGTTTAACTCCATCTTCTCCGTACCCGTGCTTGGTCTAACAGAAGAAAGACCAACAAATTTGGCGTCACGAACAGGATTTTTTCTTTTTGAAGAAAAAGGAGTTTTTGGAGGACGATTCGACCTACTGACCCAGCGAACGATCTTGGCACAGAACACCGCGGTGGAAAACAAGGTGAGCAGAACCTTATTTTCTAAAATCTGCTCATTGGATTTATCCAAAGCCTTTGTGTCCAGAATCATAGTAGCTGTGGTCCTAAAATAATAGTTGGAGACGAAAGTGGAGACAAGTGCAGAAGAAATAAGAGATTTTTTTGTAATGGTTTAATGGTGAAATGAAATGAGGATTTTCTAATGGTTTAATGATAAATGAGATAAGGAAATAGTACAGAAGAAGGGATGGTGGCCCAGGGTTATTAGAAGAGCCCTAAAGTTCCATTTCCAGGTCGTGGCTGACCACACTATTTGCTGACGAGCGAATAGAATATATAACGAGGTTATATAAGAGCTTGGCGAGAGAGTCCATAGGTGTGGGAACCCTAAAAGTCCACAGGTCGAGGACCTGGTTTTGTGTTGAGGCCCTGGGAGGCTAAAGAGAGCTCCCTAAAGTACAGGTCGAGGACCTGGTTTTGTGTTAAGGGCAGGGGAGGCTAAAGAGAGCTCCCTAGATTTTAAAGGTCAAGGACCTTTTTGTATGAGATGAGAAAAATGTTCTAAGGTAACTGTTTTTGCATAAAATAAGCAATGTTTTAAATATGACAAGCAGCCCAGTTGAATCCATGAGAAATAAGGTTTTATTGAGAAAGTCAGCAGAAAAGGCGATGAAGGAAAAGGGGTAGATGTTAACAGTAGAGGTAACTGGAGCAAGATTTGGGAAGTGAAGGCTGCAGAATCAAGAGAAAAAGGCACAGCTGTAGACAAGCTTCACTGTGTGTGTAAGCTGAGTTCAGCCTGTGTGTGTGAGGCGCAGCAAGAGGCTGCTTACGGCTCTGGATTGAAAGTGCAGCACTAGGAGAGTGCAGAATGCAGAGCAGAGTTTTGGGAGCTCCGTGTGTGTGTGTGTGTGTACAGCGCTGGATGGTGTGTGTGAAGGCCTGATGCGGTACCAGAAAATAAATAAATAAGATAAATAAGAGCTTTAAAAAGTTGCAACTCGTATATGTAAATTACACTGCAGTGCTAAAATTAATGTTTGGAGCTACGCAAAATTCAAAATTCTGCAACCCTGTTCTGATCAGTCTTTGAACAGAACACCATAAGTTAATAAATAAAAGGTTTTTAAAGTAACATATGTGTATGTATGTGTGTATGTATGTATATGTGTATACATATATATACATATGTAGTGTACAAGCGTGATAATCATTTGTGTGCGGGGCAGCATGTGAGGGACCCCGATCTGGGGGTTAAGTGGCCTGGAGATAAAAAAAAAAAAAAAAAAAAAAAAAAACCAATAAGAAATGCAAGTAAGGTTGTATATGACAGCTTTATTTCATAAATATATGG